CTCCCACCAGTTTACCACCCTAGTAATGAACAACCTGAGTGGAGCTTGGTTTTTGATCCTAATAAATGGTCATCCGTACGGATTCTTCCAAGGTGGCCGGGGACTAAAACAAGGCGATCCTCTCTCACCCCTCTTGTTCTTACTGGTTTCTGAAGCACTAAGTCGTGGGCTAAATGTGCTAGTATCTGCGACGCAGCTCTCCCCCTATGCCTTGCCGAGGGGCTGCATTCCAGTCTCTCATCTAAGCTTTGCAGATGATGTAGTGATCTTCATGCGGGGATAGCGCACGGACATCACTGCCTTACTCAACTTCCTCGATCTCTATCAGCAAGGCTCCGGCCAACGGGTCAACAAGGAAAAGAGCTTCTTCATAGTCTCCTCACGCTGCTCAGTAACTAGGTCGCAACTGCTGTCTCGTTGGCTTGGGATGAGCCGCCGCCATTTGCCTCTCCAATACCTTGGTTGCATGCCCTTGAAGGGACGACCAAATAGGGGACATTTTCAACACCTGATAGACAAAATACAACTGAAGCTCGCCAGATGGAAAAATAAGTTGCTATCAGCTAGGGGTCGAGCAACCCTCATCAAACATGTGTTGTCCGCTATCCCTCAATACACCATGGCAGTCATGGAGCCCCTAAAGACTGTCCTGCAGGACATGGAGAGAGTTATGGCTAAATTTTTCTGGGGTGAGTCCGATGGTAGAGATAAAAGGCACTGGAGGGCATGGAAATGACTATGTCACCCAATTGAGGAGGATGGTCTATTCACCAGCTTGGAAGATGTGGTAACAGCCTTTGGCTGCAAGCTCTGGTGGAAATTGAGATCCACCTCAACTTTATGGTCACGATTCATGATTGCAAAGTACGGCCAATAGGGAAGCCATATTACACAAGCACGGGCAACGAAAGCCAGCTCCAAAATATGGCAATGATTGTGTAACACCCGGCAATTTGTTGAAAAGCACTCCCGAACTTTGGTTGGCACGGGAGATAGCTCTTTCTGGTTTGACAACTAGCTGGGCCACGGTCCCCTGGCATCTGGAAAACACGATATCCCGAGCCTCGAACTGCTAATCAAAGAGTGCAGGGTGAAAAGGGATTGGCGCTTACGTGAGGTTGAGAGCGCCCCTTTCTCCTAGCGAACTACATGCCATCTCTAGCACTCAGCCCCCACTCATGGCAAGAGTGGAGGACTCTCTCACTGGGTGCCCATCGCACGACGGATGGTTTAGCATATTGTGACGGCCCCACCTCCCCCTAAGGCGAACCAAAAGGGTTTGGCGAGTCGCCTGCCCAACTCTCGCCGGGACTCACTCACTTACTATAGCTCTTAAATGAAATCGGAATAAATAGGGCAACGATCCAAACTTGAAGCGGAACTTATATACATTTCCAACCCAAAAGAGAGCATAAACATCGAATATACAAAGGTTCTCAATCCTTCATACGTCCAACCCGTGCCAAGCACTGAGGCGAGAACCATTACAAAAAAAAACAAAAGAACTAGACTAGGCTTGTCTATGCTCTCATCCTGTTCGCCGTCCCTTGTTAAGGAAACAAAACTAAAGGGTGAGCTAAAAGCTCAGTGAGGTTCCAAACACATAATCAAATAATCATTTCAATACATGAAACATGGAGTATCAATAATTCAAGAAACATTTACAATGGAAAGCGATAGTAACACATTCATTAAAAGGATACGGGCTCACAAGGAGCCATAAATTCGTTCGTTCATTCGTTCTCCTGACATTTCCCCTTATTCCTCCATTCTTTTGAAGAATGCATTTTGTAATTAAAACCCTCGTTCGTTCTTTCGTTCATTCTTTCGTTCGTTCATTCACCCCCTTCCCAGCCATTGGCCAGGCTCCACCCATCTGGACGTTGTCCGGATTACAAGGTAATACTCGAGTATACCAAACATTCACCCAGGGTCACCATATCGCCCGACCGAGTCCGCTTCTGGCTCGAGTCGATCGGTAATGAAGGGTAGGGCTCAATTCAGCCAAAAGGCTTACATCATGCGCAACTAATGTATTAATCATTAAAGCATTGAAAATTTCACGTTTCATTTAGGTCGAGCGCGATAAAGTACACGCTCGCCTGGAAAATTCGTTTTGGAAATCATTGGAAACATTTAACACATGATTAAACAATAACAACAAGTCATGAAGTCAATGAAGATATAACAAACAAGGAACACTCACCTATGTACGTAAAACAACTTGCAAAATATCCTTCTGGATATTATCCTTAGTCACCGAGAAAACCTAAAGTTAACGAGACAAAATATTACAGCTCATCTAGTATAAACAATTAGGTATTTAAAGTGAAACGAAGACATTTAAACCCGTAGACAAAATAATTAGGGTTTCGTAGACCAAAAGTAAAATCAAACTTAAAAGGATTATAAAATTTTCCAATGAAAACACTTGAACCAAAGACAAGTCGGAATCCAACTAGATAGGCTAAGAAATACTGTTTTCGGAATTGTTTATATGGTTCAAAATCATCTCATATTCAAGTAGATTTTACAAACATATGGTCTTAATGAAATTCATGTAAAAAGGAGAACAAAGTACCCAAGAAAACCCTAAACCGCTTCTCTTTATTTGGTAAGAGTAAGCAAACATTTGGAGTTTCCAATTGAAGAAGGACCATGTTTTAAGATGAAAAAACAGTCATAGTATTTGCCAAACGAAAATATACAAGTTCAAATAGAAAATTAGTCCTTGAGCGAAAATTTGGGCGTGCCGCCCTTTGTATTTACCTATTTTCCAGCCATTTATGGCTTCATTGTTTTCCTTAATCAATCCCAACATTACACACAATATAAACAGCCACTCAATATGCTCAAGACAATACAAGGACAAAAATTTAAGCTAACAACAAGTGTGGAAACGAAGTTTACAAAAGACAGTTTTGACGGGTTTTTACGGAATGGGCACATCCGAGGCTACGCTAATCGGATTGAGGTGAAAATTATACCATTTCGAAGCTAAGACAGGGGTCTACAAGGTTGAAGAAGGCCACTCAGTCCAGTTTTCAATGTACCTGGTCAAATTTACCAAAACAACTCCAGATTTTCCAATTCGAAGTTTACTATGGCAGTCCTGACTCCTTCAGTCATATCTCAGAATATACAACTCCAATTCAAGTGATTCCAAAGCCATTTGAATGCTAAGATACAAGGCTATAAGTCTTAATAAGACATCAACAGCCAAATCAGTAGTATTCCTGGTCAAAACAACTAATTACAGAAGCTGATTAGTATGTTCGGATAGAAACAGGGCAGCAGGGGTATTTTGGTCTTTTCACAGGTTACATTGCTCCGATTGAGCTGAAATTTTTCAGGCTACTATCAAATATCATTCTCTACAACTTTCATGTTTTGTACCAAGCCTAATTCAGCCTCTAACATGGAGCACTAAAACCAGACAGAATGGGCTAAAATTTTCCAGAAATCTGGAATTTTCCGTTTTCAATGCAACCGTTCTTGATTCCTTGCTCCAATCATCACTACAACCACTTATATAAGCTTAGATACAACATATATCATCCATATAGCAAGTATAGGCAGCACATACCTCAAACCGTAACTCACATATATCACCTTCAAATCATCATAACAACTTGTATCACTACTAATCCAACCACAACATGAATTATACAAAAACGAATTATACAACAACTTAAACTAAAATAAAAGAACCAAAGCCATGGTTTAGCCTTATACCTCAACAAATGAAGGTTGCAAGAGTAATACTTCACCTCCTCTTGGAATTCTTGGTTCCCCTAGCTTCTCAAGCTCACAACTCACGCTTTAATCGGTTTAGAATTTTAATTCCTCACTTGGATGGCTCAACTCAAGAAGAAGGAAGTTTGTTTCTTGCTCTCTTTCTCTCCTCTCTTGTCTCGGCCAAGCAGCAGAAAAATGGAGGGAAATGGAGCAAAATGAAGGATAAGAAGGTTGGACTTTTGGCTTGTTTAAGTAGCCATGGTTGAGTGACACTTGTCACCACTAATACCAACCAAAATTTCTCTTTCTTCTCCTTGTATTTTGGCCACATATTTCGGTCACATGGCTGAGGATGAGGGGGGAATATTTTGCAAAAATATCAAGGGTATGTGGTGGTAAGGAAGTAGTTGTCCAGTGGTGGGTTCAATCGGTAATGCACGGTACACATCGGTTGGAGCCGTTTTTTCTTAAATCGCGTATACTAGGGTTTTAACTTATAATTCAATAACTTATGATTATCACTTCAAATCATATAATATTTCCTCATCCAAAATTCACTCTTACCTACCAAATTTGATCCTCGCTCCGTACCGGATAATTACACTACGGATACACGTGAAAACCCTAACTTGCTCCGACTTGAAAACGAAAAGTGAAACCCTACTTCCTAGGTTCATTTGCACTTATTGTGGAATGATTGGGTAGTAGGGCTATAATAAAATCATAAGTTCCAAATAAAAGGAAGTTTTTAAGAGAAACGTGAGGGATTTTACAATTCCAGTGATTAAAATTAGGGTTTCAATTAAAATATGAGGGATTTAAGAAAACCTGTTGGTCACAAGTAAATTAGGATTGTTTTGATTAAATATATAGGAAATTAACCTATTAAAGGAAAATATAAAAATGTAGGCAAAGAATTAAAATAATGCCTAGAAAATGTGAAAATTCTCGGGTTCTCACACATATCCTCTGCAATAAAGACCCTGAGGCCACAAAGCAACTCCTTGCTATCTCGTCGGCTCATCTGGGACAAACAACTCCCCTCTAGGATCTCGATCTTCATGTGGAAGTTGCTGAACTCTTTACTTCCCCTACCGGATATTTTGCGGTAGTTTGGGTTCCACCTCCCCTCAAAATATTTTTTCTGCAGGAATTCGAAATCTGTGAACCATGCCTTCCTCAACTGTGACCTGGCATCCTTAATCTGGGGGTCGCTTGAATGACAGCTCAATCTTGTCCTTATTCCAGTTGATGACATCCTCATGAAACTGCAAGGCTGGTGGGTGCACTCATCCGGAAACTCCGCATTGGCTGCACTAACCCGCCTATTACCGACCATTGTGTGCTGGGAGCTATGGAAGGCTCGGAACAAAGTGTGCTTTGAGGATGTGGTGACCACTAGAACAGGTCTCTTACACCAAATTACCTTGCAGCTACATGCAGTTGGGCATGCGTTTCCCTTCCGTTGCACAAACACAGGCGATGCGACACTTCGGGGGCAGGGACTTGTTCCATTTTTGGTGTATCCGAGGCACAGAACCATAGCCCTCTCATGGAGCTGCCCTACTAGGCCCTATGTGAAACTTAACGTTGATGGCTCATCCCTTGGGAATCCGGGAGACTCGGGAGGTGGCGGGCTCGTTAGAGACAACTCAGGGTGCTTCCTCTACGGGTTCTCATCATACTACGGGTGGCAAACTAACATGCATGCAGAGGCATCTGCTCGACTAGAAGGAATACAGCTTTGTTTATCACAAGGATACGGCCATGTCCTGGTGGAGCTCGACTCGCTGACGTTGCTAAATGTGGTGCAGGGACGGTCTAAGTGTCCGTGGCGTATATTCCCTATCGTCTCAGCCATATAGGCCAAGCTGGGGGGAGGGGTCTTCCGACTCCAACACTGCTACAGAGAGCTCAACGCTGTGGCCAACGCTTTGACGAAACGCACCAGTAATATGCACACCTCATCTGAATATCGCGCGCCCACCTGCCCGCCTGACATCCGTGGCATTCTCCAACTGGACAGAGAGCACTTCCCCTACATTTGAACCACTAGATAGATCTCGTTTAGCTCACCCTAGGCCAAGGTTGGGATCCGACTTGCTAGCCCATTGATGTAACTTTTCAGATTTCTTATGAATAAAAGCTGCTTTTAAGAAAAAAAAAAAGAACTCTTCCAATTATTGCTCTTTATTGTGGTAGAGATATGGCAATGCATTTTCTAGTTTTTGGTTTGCTCCATTTGGTTTATTCATGGAATATGCATCTCAAAAGCTTGGCGAAAGAAGAAATGGCACCATCCAATTAGTGGAATGGTAATTGACAACAACTATTAAAATCAATGGAAGATTAGCTATCAACCACCATTCAGAAAAGAAACCAACCACCACTCAAATAAGTGGAGAGTTAGCTATCTACCTATCAACCTGGGTCGGCTAGTTAAAGGTAAATTATTAAAGGACAGATGGTTGAAATTTAGCTAGCAAAAAATTTAAAAGGACCTACCTTTCAATTATGAATGCTAAGTCAAATAGTTAGTAGAAATTCTCTGTAAATAGTCTTGTAAGAATTCAAATAATAAATCCATAGTTCATAACTTCAAGAACTTAGAACCTTTAATTCTTTCTCAAATTCTAGTATAACCTCATTTTCATAAAACTTTGTATATCCCTCTCTTGTACATATATCATCAATAAAATTTGAGTTTCAAGAATCTAGTGTTGTGTTGAAATTGTTCAAGTAAGCTTCCGCTTCCTCTCTTAAATTTCCTTATGCACTTTTATATCCTAGGTGTAGTTAGTATTAGAGCCATGGTAGACTTTTACCATGGGAAGGTTAGCTTTATTTAATCTCTTATAATGGATGTAAAATCTATTTTATTGTGTAAACAATAAGATTGTGGTTTGAAGAAAGCAGTCTATATCATGGATTAAATGTAGGGCTTGTGTGCAACAATATGACTATGGTCTCATGAACTGCGTGAGCAATACGACCATAGTCTCATGAGCTCATATTCATCATAAAAGATGATACGCTTATGTTGGTCAATGGCCTGGTATGATTTGGATTAAGGTATTGATAAGGTCATTTATTATTCATTTATTATAGCTGTCAAGTCCATTTGTTGTGCCTCGGATCTTGGTAAAACCTCGGCCTTCCACCATTACATATCTCGCTCTTATGAATATGCGCTTAAGGGATTCATGTGTTCAATACACTTATAGCGGCATTGCGTTCATGTGTTCAATATGCACATAGAGACACCTATGTTTGTCCAGGATATATGCTGATTATTCTTCATGTCATTTGCTCAATACGTTTGTACAATGAATTAGCTTTATTTTCTATTATAAGCAGATTTGAATATGGTTAACCAAATTTATTACCTTTTACATCTTTATCTTCATCCGCACCTTCTAAATCTAATAAAAAGAAAAATAAGTTTACTAAAAATGCTGAAATATTAGAATTTGAAAAAATTGAACAAAAAAATACAAAATTGGAAATTTCTAAAACTTGAACCTCATTTAATTTATCGAACGGGTAGATTTGATTTACAAAACTAGACTTGTTATAAAAATTGTTGAAAGGATAATTCCTATTAATGATGAATTTGATGAAATTAAACTTCTTAAATTTGAATATAAAATTATAAATAGTGATCATAAATATTTACATATATGATTTGTACAAATTGCACTTCAACTTTTAAATCATCAAGGTTTAAATACTTCAGTCTTGGTAGCTTTAAGAGATTGGAGGCATCTTAAATTTTAAAATTTGTTATTAGGGTTTGTTGAAACTAATTTATGTAATAGTTCAACATGTTTTAATTATCATCCAAATTTTTGGTCATTAAGGATTGAATACTTCAGTCTTGGCAGTTTCAAGAGATTGTAGGCATCTTAAATTTTAAGATTTGTTATTAGGGCTTATTGAAATTGTGAGGACCCGCTAAATTCCCTTATTTTATCTTAATTTATTTTAATTCTTCGCATGCATTTTCTTTACTTTACTCTATTATATTAATTTTCGATAGATTTTATAAGCAAGTATAGTTTTACATCATTTTTCTAATATAAATTAGTTTATGTGACGTTAATAGTGTATATCGGACGTGGGACCCGCTAGTGTGTTAAGTGCGATAAATTTTGACAACTAGTGGGAGTTTTGTATAAAGGGATATTGTTGTATAAGGTGCTAGGAGATAATTTGAGGTTAGCTAGATAAATTAATCTCGGAAGACAAAGGGTGAGAATAAACCTAGGAAAAGCCAAGTGTCATGAAACCAATGGATGTTGGACTTTGACCTGACTTTCCTTCACCTTTACTAAATCAAAAATTGACCAAATTTCCCTCATATTTCTCCCAGCTTGGCCGGCCACCTTGAGAGGAAAAACAAAAGAGAAAACTTCATTCTTTAACTACCAAACTTGCTTGAATCTTGAGTGTTAGCCAACAACTTTGCAAACCACTCCATACAAGTGTTAACTAAGGAGAATTAAAGGTGTTGGTGCAGTGACTTTGGAGAAGAAAGCACTAAGATTTCATCTTTCTTGGAGGAACAAGGTACCCTTGGCTAGAATCTTCACTCTACTTCAATTAATTGCCAACTAGTGGTTTAGGGTTGTGATTTTTGTAGTTTTATGGGAAAATTTCATGGAGAAAGTGGTGACATGGGAAATTTCAGTTTTATGGTAAATTTTCTGCTCTTATTTGATGCTTGAGCATTGGCTATGGATTGATAGCTTTGTTATGTGTAATATTGAGCTTTTATATGCTAGTTTTACTTGCCTACGAAAAATTCCAGCTTGTGTGCCTAAATTTTAGCTTAGGATTTCTAATTTGAGAGTTATTGTGGTTGGTTTGTAGAGCTAATAATTGGCTTTATATGAAGGGTATTGTGGCCCTAATTAAGTGTGTTTAATAGCTTATAATTTGTATGTGCAATTGTGGTTGAATTGAGATGTGATTGGTGTTGATTGTAGGATGGAAAAGTAAAGGAATTTAAGGGGAAGTGCTGTCCAATTTTTGGGGCTACTTGATTCCTTCAAGTTTGGGTTGATTTGGTGATAAACTTGCTTAAGATGTTTGGTATAGCTATAAGTTTTACTTAGGTGTTGAATTTTGGTTGAATGGAAGGATTTTCATTGGTATTTTCCTCCAATTTGTTGGCTGAAATTTCCGTTGTTGGTCAAATGATAGCGAAGTCCATTACCTTGTTTTTTTCTAACCTTTTCATGATTGGTTTTGGCCAAAACTTGTTCCAAACATTGGTTAAGCCTTTTGTGCTTGAATTTGAGTGAAAACTATGTAGAGTAGGGGGTGAAAAACCTCATGATTTCACTTGTGTCATGGCTGCGAAAATTCTGGTTTGAAAGGCAAATTTGCCCTTGTTACTTTTGAGCCTTAAAGTCTTTAGTTTGGAAGTCTTGAAGACCAACTGTTATTTCCTTTCACTCCAAGCCACATTTTGCTTTGTAGTAGTAGTTCATTGGATAGGCATACAACTCGTAATCGAGCCATAATTGTTTTATCTTGGTTGTTCTTAGGACGTACCGGTGATCAAGGGTATACTTCAGGTGCAAACTTTTGAAGTCCCTTTCCTTGAACTGGTGAGTGTACCACTCACATGACTTGTTACTTAAATTGATTTACTTGTACCTGCAATCTGTGACTTGAATGTCTATTACCTCTGTTTATTTTGAATGAGACGAGGGTGTACTTTATCACACTTGCTTTCTCGCCTGTTTGACTGGTTCCTGTATACATCTGAATCTGTTACTTGTGCATGATCTGATGTCGTTTGGAGGATTGTATCCAATGACCTTCCTGTTAAATCTGAGATCAACCTCATTGGTAGTTAATTGAATCGAGCTAGTAAGGGGCTTGGTCGAGAAAAATTACGAGCCATGGGGGCTTGTTTCCTTGGAATCTTTGAGTATTAGAGATTCTGGATTCCTGGTATATTCGAGTATTACCATCTCTGTTCTTGTTGAGGCGTTCAGACCGGGTAAGGGATATGTTAAGTGGACAGAATTTGGTGTAAAGTGGAGTCTATGATCATGTTTGTTCTTTAAACGTTGACGGAGAGTCAACGGGGTTGGATTAAGTAATGCAACGGGGATTTGCCTCTTGAGAGCCATCTATATCCTTTCTATTTGAGATGTTTATTCATTTCCTTATCTGGTATATATATTTGACTGATTAGAAGTAAAGCTCCATGATTCTTGACTGCTTGTATTTTTGGTATCTCATTGGGCGAAAGCTCACCCCCGTTATCTTTGTTTTCGTGATCAAATTTTGAAACTGTGATTTTGGAAGAAAGAGTAGAGCTAGTTATAGTCATTCTTTTGATTAAGCTCCTCTGTAACCAAAACCCTAATTATATTTTGTATAAGTGCGGATATTATAGCTTGTACTTCAAGTTAATTTGTTGAAGACTCCAATATATATGTATAAGTGTTTATCATGTATCTTAAGTGTGTTTGTTTGAGATTGTATGTCTCTATGGCTTTGGTGAACCTTACTTGTGTTCATTGGAAACCGGGCAAGTGCGGAATTTGAACAAGGCAAGAAAAGAGATTTTGGTGGGAATCCACTGCAGGGAATCTGCCCATATATCCGGCCAGATCTTGGCTGGATACATGGCCGGATTAGTAGGGGAGATTGAAAAAAAAATTGGCTGGTTCACTGCCTTGAATCCGGCCAGGAATCTGGCTAGCAATCCGGCCAAGTTTTGGTCGGATTCTGACATGGCACTTGTTCTTTTCGTTCTTCGTTGGAGCGTTTAATCGAAGTTCTAATGCAGCGCTTAGTTTAGCTACTTCAGTTTCCAACAGTTCATTTTCCCTAGGTTCTTTTA